CTCATACAAATGCATATACATTACATATGCCTCTCCATATGAACGCCACGGCTCCTGAAGGACTAATTGCATTCACTTACTTTCTCAGCCCAGCTTGAAACTCATAGATTGCTGGGATCGTAACTGTAGGGGAGAGAAGGCTCATCTTTATCTGCCCCTCTTGAAAAGGAGAGAGGGGCTAGCAGAAAGAACGCAGTAAAGTGTCCTGACTGTGTGCACTTGGAAAAGCTTTAGAAAGAAGCATTTCATGAAGACCACGTACCACTTAACAAGGTGCCTTTGATACAAAGGTGGAAGCCAGTGAAACAATTGTTCTTTGTGCAGTATTTCCATGGAAGGTTTGAAACTGTTTCAAACCTCCACTTTTAAAATAAACACTGATGTTCTTTTGGAGACACAAGGTGTTAATGAAACTATTAAAAGCAGAGAAAGTAGGTGTAAAGAATTGAAGGCTCTACTACTGATCTTTTAATTACAGGGAATCAGAAATTTCATTAGCTATCAGAGAAAGCTGCTGGACAAAATGCTCTCAAAATACAAGCTATGCCGTTTCAAAACTGTTTTTTAATATACATATATATACAACACATATATATACACATAAGCATGTGTGCCATATGTATATATATCCCAAGGACTTAGGCTCCTATGATTCCCTTGACATAAGAAACTCACACAGAATATCAACACCAAAGCAAATGCCTTGATTTTGCCCCTATGCATCCCCAGCTTAGTTGTTCTTAACATGTCTAACTGCTTTCTTCCTATTCCAACCATTTCTTCATGGCTTCCCTAAACCCTGTAGGCAGGCAGGGTATCTATAGGAAAACAAACAATTAAAACCTAGCCAAACCAAAGAAACAAACAAACAAACAAACAAACAACAACAACAACAAAAAACACCAGCCTCACTACCTCGGCATATACAACCAATACAACATGGAAACCTGAAAACACATAAAAATGGATGCCAGGATACTCAGAAATCCACCCAGCCAGCAAGTGTGCTCCCGAAGTGCCACAGTCAGAGCTTCTCAAAACTAAATCCGTGCCTTTGGCTGGTCCAGGTAGGCACTTAAGTACACATCCAGTCATCCACACAACTGCTACAGAACCTAAGTGTGTATCTAACTTCAGAGAAGTTAGATGTTTTTCTAAAATAGTGCCTAAATACTCAGCTACAAAATTCACTAAAGCTTAGACCTCCAGGTTGTGAAATTCTAATCTACACATGGAATTTTCTGCTTACTGCTCCCAAGTATCTATGTTAAAAAAAAAAGCAATATCGAAAAAATTGTGGTAACCAGCTTAATTATGGGAAATCACCAGCTGAAGTTTTTATAGCCATTCTCTTACAAATTTTATACACCATTTTCTTGTACAAGATGCAGACAAACCCAGTAACACTCCTAGCAATAAAAGTACTTGCTTTTGTGACACTACAAGATTTGGCCTCTCTATATGACCAGAAACTAGACTTGAAATGCTGGTACTTTTAACTATCCTGAAACAAGTCACAATTTATGAAGCTACATAACCCGACACTGAAACAACTTAAAGGGAAATACCCAAATAGAAACCACAACCTTAAAAGCACACTCCTGCAAGCAGAAAAATGTATCATTAATTACAACATGTAGTTCAGCTTGAACTCTGACAAGATTAAAAACAGTAGCAAGCACTAAATATGCAAGCAGACCGCTTCAAAATTTGGCCCAGGTACACGATACTTGATCTGAATTCTAATTACAAGGACACTAGTAATTAAGATTAAATTAATATGCTCTATTCCAAAACTGAATATTGTATTCAGAATAATATTCTGTGATGAAAATAGTTTGCTGTCCCATATAAGAACACATGCAAACAGTGCTGAAGATTAATGCACCAATTACAATTGGTGTATATTGAATTCTAAGCCTACACAAATAAACAAATAAAACTCATTTTTGTGCTTATTTAAGGATTAATTTCCAATTAAAAAATATTAAAAGAAGTTATTTTATTTATACTTCAGAATCCAAATACCTGAACATATTCTCACTTGGAACTAGACTACAGCATTTATGGTACTTCATGTATGCTGATAATTAAACACATAAGAAGAATAAAGAACAGGATTACTTTAAACAGTCCTAATTAGAGACTTAGATGAGAAGTATAAGAATACAAAACTTTGTTACACATACATGCTAACAATAGTGATCATACAACATTTTTTAATTCTTCCAGCAGAACTTTGGCAACTAACCAAGCAATGTAATATGAATTTTGCTAATAGACTCCTCAGGTATTTTATTTACCAAATATTGTTCACAGCAGGAGCACTTATCAATTGGGCCACTCAACAATTCACTAATGTTTTTTTCAGTGAGGATGAAAACTTTACATACTTCAGTAAGCTGCTGGACCTTCATACTAAAAAATGAAACACCATCAAATTGGAAGGAAGAACAATTACTATTAAATTCTTCAAAGTTTAGATGAAGTGTCGCTTTAGAGTGCCTTTAATCACTAGCAAAATGATCAGTGTTTCATCTTCTAAAGGGAATTAATTAAGTCTAGAGCAGTTTATTAATTCTGAAAAAATACAGTAAAGAACTAAGCTAAATCACAATAGTGGTATCTGTGTTTAAAAAACAACAGTATATTTTGTCTTCTAATTTCAAATTGTTATCATCACGTAAGCATCCCTACTTACTTCTGCATGCGTACATCTCTTGAGTCTGCCTCTGAATGTAGATAAATCACTGTAAAGTTATTCCTGCGACATTGTTAACTGCTCTAAAAATTTTCATAACCAAAGACAATTCTGTCTTCACCTTAGATTCTGACTAAACGAATTCAAAAGAGAAGTGCTTTCTTTTCATTGGGTCTCTTTCACCTACCATTCAGGTATTTGTCTGTTTTTGTGTAATGATCATGTTATTTGGAAAGCACATAAAAACTGGCACACTGTATAAAACAACTGCACCCTGCTCTTTCTCATATTTTTAACTCATGAATAAACATGATATGTCCAAATAGATGTATCCATTGTGAAAGAGCAGTGAGTATTTTAAGAGAAAAAAAGTTTGTTTTTAAAACAGAAGGTTTAGAAACATCTTAAAATTAACTCTTCCTCTAGTGTTTGGAAGAATAACAAAACTAAGTTTTCTTTGCAGTCTGCTGATGTTTAATGTTGGATTAATAAGAGATTCCATTACCAGTAATAAAATATGATAAACTTACTAGAAGCCTTACAAATCCAACTCAATGAGTAATACCTACTGACTAGATAAGCACTGCTTGTACCTTAAACTCTCTTTACCTATGTACAGTTATTGTACAAGCGCATCACACACAAGATGACAGAAGGGAAAAATTTTGAATATAAGACTATTTTTGAAGTATTTTAGCTATTATACTAGTAATGTGTGCATTCAGTCAAACCTACTTCTTTCAACAATCCTCCTTTTACCCAGTGGGGTTTGGAAATACTACTTTTTTTTTTTACCAGCAGTTAGATTTCATTTTGCCTAAAAACAACAGAAAAAACCCTCTGGTTTTGAGACACAAGCAATTTTTTGGGACATATGTTCTTTGATGTGTGGTGTGCGGTGTAACCTTTCATCTTATTTACTCTGAGCAATTTTTTCCAAGTAACACAAATAAAAAAAGAGGAAAATGTAGAGACAGGCATTTAAAAATCATACATGCTTCATCATTCCTAAGCATGATTGTTTCCGTGGATAAATCCTCTCTGTCTCAATCTTTTTGTGCCGTTTATCACTGAGGTGTTGTGACCAGGAACACAGTGCTGGACAGACCAGCTAACTCTGGGCCCTTGAAAATTCAGTCTGTTAACTTCTGCATCACCTATTTTGAACCTGCTCTGGAATACTGAGTAGGAGAGTTTTCTGCAGGCAACACAGATCTATTAAAAAACATGACCTGTGACAAAAATCAATGTGCTAATCTCAAGCCAAACAGCAGTATCAGAAGCATAAAAAAGAGATAACCTAAGATAAAACGTCCCCAAATTTACTTAGACTAGCTTGACAGGTTTACCAGGAAAAAAAAAAAAAAAAAAGAAAAGAAAACCAAATAAAAGTAAGTCTACTCACAGGCACTTTAACAAGGCAAAAGAATTTAATACGCAGCTGACTTTGTACCTAAACACATGGATACCATTTGGAGCAGGGCTGCAATTGAAATTTGCTGATGCTAAACATGAGGGAAAACGCCAGAAAAAAAAAATATAAATGTACAAAGGAAACTTCATTTTCCAGTGCTGAACGGCACATGCAAAGCCTGCTGCCAAGAACCCTCGGCGAGAGGGGAGCGGGGCGACTGTGCCAGCATCGCTCGGCCCCGACGGCGGGGACAGAGAAGATGCTCGGGACACAGACTCCTGGCCCGGCAGGGCAAACCTACCTCGCTTCTTCACCTAGCCCGCTCGGGAGAGCCTCCCGCCGGGCGGGCAGGGCAGGGCAGAGCAGGGCCGGGCAGAGCCGCTCCTGACAACCCCCCCGCCCGGGGTGCCGCGGAGCCAGGGACTGCGGACGCAGAGCCCCGCCGCGCTGCCCGGGGCCGCACCCCCGCTACCGTAACCCGCCGGGACAGTTTCGGAGGGCCGCTACCTGCGCCCCCTCATCCCATCAAGCCCCCGGAACGGGCTCGGCAACTGGCACGAAGCCTCCCCGCGGAGAGGAGCACCCACACCCCGTTGGGGGCGCACCCGCCCGACTCCCGCCTGCGGACTCTCGGCCTGCGGCGACCGACCCCGGGGAAGTCTGGTGCGGCCTCGGAGGGAGGAAAGGGGGGCAATAAGAGAAAACCTCCCTCGCCACCCTCCCCATCGCCGCTACCCTGCAGCCCTGAACCTCCATTAAAATAAAGTTTTCCACGTCTTTCTCCAGCCGGGGTTAGTTCCTGCGATTTTTGGGTACGAGTCTTCAGCGCCCGCCCGCCGACAGAGCCCCCTCGCCCCGGTGCGCGCCCGCGGCCGCCCCGCGTACCTGGGATTGGAGCTGTTCCAGTAGACAGCGTAGCGGTCGGCCACCGCCTTGGCGCCGGGCTCCTGCCCGCGCACGCACACCCACAGCGCCGCGGCCGCCAGCAGCAGCATCTCCACGTGCGGCATCTCCGCCCGGCCGGCGGCGCAGCGAGGCGGGATGCGGGGAAAAAAATTAAGAAAGGGGGGGAGAAAGGAGAATAAAAAAATAAGGGGACGGGGGGCAGGCGGGACCGGGAGGGGGTAAATAAATAAAAAGACGCGCAAGCGGTGGGTTCCGCGGTGAGCCGCGCCGCAGCAGCGAGCTGAGGACGCCTGGCGCCGCAGCCGAACAGCCGGCGGGCGAGGGCGATCCGCGGCCCCTCAGGGAGCCTTATCCCGGCACGGGGTGGCAGGGGCCGAGGCGGGTGTCGGCGACAGGCGGCGGGCGGTGCTCATTCACCGGGAGTCCCGCACGGAGCCCACGGCACGACATACACTGGCCCGCCGGCGCGGCGGGCGGGCGAGGGGCGGCCGCTCCTCTGCCCCCTGCGAGCGGCCCCGACGCGCGGCTCGGGCTTCGCGGGGATGGAGGCAGAAAGTGAGCTGAAGAACGGCGGAGAAGAGCGGGCAGGAGGAGGAGGGGAAGGAGATCTTTCCCACGGGGGGTCCTGGCAATGTATTAAAGGCGGCCGGCTGGGAGCGGGACGAGGAGTACCCGCAGATCTTAAAGTACAAAGTTTCTGTCTTCCGTCCTGGCCCTCCGCTCCCCGCAAATGAGAAACAAACAAAAAGAGGGGGGAAAAATAGGGGAATGGAGGAGAAAAAAGGGGGAAGGGGGGGGAAGCAAAACCCCCGAGGAGTTTGCTCGCTGCGCTGATGGAGTTGAGGAGCCTGTTCTGCAGCACGGTGTCTTGAAGGAGACTTTGTGGAGTGGTTTTCTTGTCCTTCCTGTTCCTGGGCGGTGGATGCACCAAGGACTAAGCAACAGCAAAGGCGAAAAAAAAAAAAGGAGGGGGCGTCGGAAAAAAATGGACGGCCAATCCAAGAAATATTGCGGCGTGGAAACCAAGGGATGGAAGTAAAAAAAAACAAAAAAAAAAAAAAAAAAAAAAAAAAAAAAAAAAAAAAACAAAAAAAAAAAAAAAACAACACCAAACAAACAAAAAACTGTTTTATGAGAGGACGTGGAGAAAAGCAAAACCTCGGAGAAGTGGAAAATCAAGCCTGCAAACTCCTCTGACGATGCTGGTCTTGGCTGGCCTCTCCTGCTCGGGGAACGAATGGAGCAATACGGCGAGGTGCGGAAATCTCTTGTTTCAGCCTCTCGGAGCCTCTCTGCGATAAATCAGGGTCCAGTCCCGTGAACATCAACTTCTGCGGAAGGACAAAACAGTTTGAAAGAGCAGGGAGAGGGTGAGAGAAAAAGAATCCACCCCTCAGATGACTACATAAGGAGATCTTAAAAAAAAAAAAAAAAAAAAAAAAAAAAAAAAAAAAAAAAAAAAAAAAAAAAAAAAAAAAAAAAAAAAAAAAAAAAAAAAAAAAAAAAAAAAAAAAAAAAAAAAAAAAAAAAAAAAAAAAAAAAAAAAAAAAAAAAAAAAAAAAAAAAAAAAAAAAAAAAGCAACCACCCCAGATCTTCTCGGTCTTGCCCAACAGCTGCTCCCCCTTTCCCTCCGAAGCAGCAGCAAAAGCAGCAAGGAAAAATATACCACGCCAGCAGGCAAATAAATAAACTTGAATGCAGCGGCAGGCAGGGAGGGATCGTAAAGAGCGACGAGGATTGGAGGGGCAAAAGTCAGTTTTGAAAAAAAAATTGCTTTATGGGAGGAAAAAAATCTTTAAACAGTCACGCCCCCTTTTGCAATGACCGGTCCCTTCACTGCGTGTAAATCCGACATCAGCAACCTGGAAAAGCTAGGAGCCTGGCGTGCTAAGCTGTCTCTGTGCATGCGTGTGTGCGACGGGCAGCCGCAGAGATATATACGCGGTATAGCGAGGTACGCACGCACACACATACACACACACACACACACATACATACATGCACAAGCGTGTGTCCGAGGCGGGATCTGGCGCCGGTGTGCGTGAGGGATGAAGGCGAGGAGGAGGTGTAGGCAGCCAGCTCGGAGCACGGCTGCTGCTGCTTGATCATGTGGGATTTTTGCATGCAGTTTACTTGGGAAAGGGGGGGATTTGCCAGCGCAGCCAGTCAGGGCACAGCCTGCTGTTTGCTTACAGATTGCCTTTTTTTTTTTTTTTTTTTTTTTTACACCTCGACCTGATTGGCTTGCAACACGAGAAGGAAGGTGTCGTCCCGGGCTTCTCCTCCTCCATGCCAAAAAAATACCCAACCCCACCTTCTGGAAACCTGACTAATTGAATTACTAAGACATCGGAGTGGTTCCTGTGCAGCCTTACTGCTAAAGGTAACCATTTCAACGCCGGATGCTGCGACAGGCTAATGCGCGGGGGCAGGGGACGGACGAGTTTCCGCCCGCCACGAGAAAAAAACAGTGTGCCGAGTAATTCCACCGAAGCAGAAAAACTCTTTCCCTGCGTTCCCCCGCACACCGCAGCGCTGCGGGAGCCGGCGGAGGAAAAAGGGCTCCGCCAATGTGCAGATACCGCAGCCCCGACACCACTGGCGCCGGGGGCAGGCGAATGGTGGGCCCTCCACCACCAAACCCCGGCATCCCCGCATCCCCTCGGGCAGGTGAGCGGCTCCCGCGGTCGGGGCGGGGCCGGACGGGACTGGGCCTCCCCCGGGCGCTCCCGCCGCTCCCGCCCGCCGGTGTTGCCGGGGTGACAAAAGGCAGAGCGCCTCCCGTCCCACCCCACCCCACCCCACCCCACCCCACCCCATCCCATCCCATCCCATCCCATCCCATCCCATCCCATCCCATCCCATCCCATCCCATCCCATCCCATCCCATGCGGGGCCCAGTCCCTGCGCTCGCTCCCTGCCTCCCTGCGTCGGGATCGGCGCAGTTCGGAAGCGCCCCGACTCCCCCCAGCGGCGGAGCCCGGCGGTGCAGGGCGGGCGAGTCCCGGAGGGGGGATCAGCGGTGCCATGGCATAGGGTTGGTTGTTTGGATTCCTGATGGAAAATCCTTTTCTTCAACGTGGAAAGGCGTTCCAGGTTGATCTTCACCGATCATGCCACCCAACCTGACGGAAATTTCTGCTCTTCTTCTCGGAAGCGACTGAAGAGACGGAGTTGAAAACAAACATCAAACCCCTTGGGTTTGGATTTTTTTTTTTTTTTAATTTTTGGAGTATGTTTTTTGTTTGTGGGGTTTTTTTGTTTGTTGGTTGGTTTGGTTTTTAGCACAGATTTTCAAAGCTTTACTATTGAAAGCCTAAAAACTTGTCTCCCCGTGGTCTTCCCTCAGACTTGTTTTCAGTATGTTGACATCTGTAGAATAGTTAGCAGTGTACAAAGTACATCAGCTAAGTACGTAGCCCATGTATAACAGGCACCATAAACCAAACTCTTTTCTTCGTTTATTTTTGTTAAAAGAATCCCAACAATTCTGATTTTTTTCACCATCTTTGGACTTAATTCTTTTAATAGGCATGGACACATCCAGTGTTTCCTTAGTCTTTTTTCTCCAGCACACACAGACATGTGGAAATCACTGTCATTACAGGAAGCAGAATAAATAACACTTTTTTTCCCCCCATGAAGAATCTCCTCAACCTCATTTGTAAGAAGAGTTCATTTCCTCTTCTCCCCTCCTTTGTTCTCCTTGTGAGAAGTATCACAGGGAAGGAGTGAGGGGTCAGTTTGTACAATTTAAAATACCTTTTAATAGCAAAGTCAGACCTTAATTTAGTATATAAATTGTCCTTGCAGGACTACAATACTTGTATTTTTCTTTGACACACAGAAACCTGTGAAAAGAAGACAAGCTATTAATAATTAAAAAAGAGAAATCCTCCAACGAAGATTAACAACGTGAAGATATACTTTACGTAGCAAGTAAGCTGTAGGTGGTTGTAGTTTATAGACAATACAAAGACATAAATGCTGAGGATTCAGGATGTAAATTAATTCCTTGAGCAAAGCAAATTACTGCTTTAGTGAACAGAAAGTGATATTTTTGTTATGTCATAACCAATTCATATGAACTCATCAAATATGCAGTACTCAGGAACATGCCAGCTTCTAGCCCACTCTCCATTTTCATGATTACACGATTAAACAATTATTGATATCATAGTTGTTAACTGCTTCTGTGTTTCAATGGCCTCTGGCATTAACCTTCATTTAGCAGGAAGGTTGTCAGTGAGAGATTCAACATCGATGAAACTACTCTGAATATGGTGTTTAGAAAAATTAGTATGTGTGCACAGTAAGTGTCTGAAAATGCTTCTGACAAGCCTGTGTAGCTTCCCATGGATCCTTGAGTCTTTAATGTACATTGTACAGCATGATGCAGTGACTTCCTATGTATTGGTATGCTGTGCTGCAGTCACTATGCTGATTGATCACATATCTCAAAATAATTAAACTAAGCACAGCCTGACTTTTGTTTCTGAGGAAAAAGTGGTGTACCTGTAGATTGTCTTTCTTTGCTGATTTCCCTTAACAAAGCACACGGTATATGTATAATGGTTCAGTATCTTGAACAGATACACAGGACTTAGGGTGTTAAAATGTAGATAGTGTTATTAAAATATAGTTTAGGTAATTTGCTTTGGTATTCAAAGATACTTTAGCACCCATCAAACAGAAAATAGAAAATGTATCTCTACGTTATTCCTATAGCTTGTGTGTATGACTTTTATCTTTTATAAATCTGAGCAGCTTGTGTGTATGATTTTTATCTTTCATGAATTTGATCAGTGCTTCAGAAGTTAAACTAACTAGTAGGGCCCAATCCATCTTTTCCTGACATTAACTCCACTGACTTTAATGAAGTTAAACAAGCAAAAAGCATGGGCTTTTTCCTTTTGTTAAAACCTGGAGAATTAAGAATTAATTTTCATATTCTGGAAGAATAAACGTATATTGCAAATTAGTGAAAAATATACCTGCATTTTAAAACTTTTTTTTCTAAATTTTGTGGAAATGTGTATTTTTAAATCATATGGTAACATTTGAGTAGAATTTTATTAAAGGTACCCAGACAAAACCCAAATATAATCCTATAGTTGGTATGTGTTTAAATCATCTGTGATGTTTTTTTAAAAGGCTGTACAAAAATGCAGCTCTTTTTTTTTAATCAGTGGTTTCCCTGGAAATGTGTTTTTCAGGACCTGAAAGTATCATACTTTCTTATATTTTTAATCACTCTCTGATTTCATAAACGTGTTGCAAAAAAATTACTTAGAAGCAACCTCAGCTTCAAGTTTTGCAAACTGATAACTAAAAAGGGTGGCTCATCATTAAAAATCCTCTCATTTTTTACAGTAATCCCTGATACTCTAAGTTGTCAAAAAGTAATATAGAACAAGATCTTAGACGAATTTCCATATGAGAGGAGTGGGTACCAGAGGCATAAATACTGTTAGAAAGGATCACTGATTTTTTTGTAGTGAAGTGTGTTCATAATTTGATTGCAAATATTCTCAACCAAGGTAAGACTTTTCTTTCTGGGTGATTTCTCTAACTGAAGGGTATTTTTTCTTCTTAGATAGATTTACGTGTGGGAGACTGTGTGTATGTACTCCATGTGTAGATTTTTCTTTTTTTTTGGCCTTCTATTGTTTCCCCCTAGGAGGAGGAAATAATCTTATGAAAGAGAACAGAAGGAAATGGCTTCACATGAACCTGTCCCAGTACTTACTTGTGTGTGTGAGTATTTTCGGCTCACTAGCACAGAGAAATTAAATGGAGATTCTTGATATTCTTTTTATTAAACTGTCTGGCAAGTCCCTTGCTTCCCTAACCCTCATTTTCTACTCTACCAATCAGAGATAACATACATGCTTACTTTGCTGTGATATACTGAGGCTCAATAACTTCATGTTTTTAGATAGTCAAAGGACTAGCTTGGAAATCCTTATATAAAAGAAGAAAATGCCATAACACAAAATACAGTAATGAATTCTAGACAACTTTTGGGGGCATATCATCCAGTGATACTTTCAGGCATGTTATTTTGTCCAGAAATCATTCATGTTCCTTTTTGCATTGGAGTTTGATATTTGTTCTTAAGAATTTGCTATTGTTTTTAATAAAAATTATCTGCAGTTGTGAACTTTGGTTATCAAGTTTGTCAGCTCAAAATCTATGCGCCTGGCTGAACAATCAAAAGAGCTTTTGCTCGCAAAGTAGGCAACACCTCTTCAACACATAGCTATTCGGGTATTAGTCCAGAAATTTCCAAAGCATAATACTTTGAGAAAAACTGAGAAGAAAACAAAAGATTTCCTGGCTTCATATAGCTGTTTTATGACTTTTTTTTCCCCAAAGCTTATGAGAGAAAGAATTACAAGCTATGAGATTTTCAAAAACATAGGGGTAAGCAGAGTACTTATCTGCTCCCAGAGACAATAGAAAAATCCACTTTGAAGTTCAGTGTAATGTCACCTCCGTGTAAGTAGGCAATAACTTAGATATAGTGTGTTGCCATTCAAGTTCATGTTTGTCTGTCTTTATACATACTTTTGCTCATGTTTGTTAAATATCTAATTATGAGGAGTTTGTTTGTTGACACACTTTAAAGAGCTTGAAATTTATGCCTTCATGAAGGTGTATTTTTAATACAGCCAGTTTGAAAGGCCAAATAAAAGCATTTGTTTCTACTTACTCAAGTTTCTGGCTTTACAAAATGTAAAGCCCATTGCACTGACTTGTCATTAATATTGATTCAATAAGAATAACTGAAATGACTTATCAATAAAGCCAAAGCAAAAGAATCCATGGTGCTAGGATAAATATATAACTTTCCTTTTTCCTATTCACTTCAATTCCTTAACATGTTAATTTAAAGACCTTTTGAAAGATTTTTGAAAGCTATTACTCAATCTTAAATTATTATAGAACCAAGATCTTACAAAACCTCCAATTTTGGTATTATCAATGCAAAAGTATTTAAAGCTTTTAGGTGCAAGAAAGATTTTGTACTATACTGTAAAAATAAAAAAACAATACCCAGAGGCAATGGACAGTATTAATATAGCTATGGCAAAGATTGCTGTTCACTCTTCTAAAAAGCTCTGTATTGAGCAGATACACTATACAGGTTATACAGATTATGTTACATGAGCAGGCTCCCATTTCAGCATCTGTGCATCTCCTATGATGACATGGCACGATTGAAACCAGTTAAGGTAAAGGTAAATATTAATCCTCTTTGACCTTGTGATACTTTTAAATGATCTTTTGTGTTACTTGCTGTTCCAATGGCCATGCTGAGACTGCATTTTTCCAGAGTCCTCTTGATGAAAGTTAGCTTTTCAGGTTTCTTTCTTTGCACTGAGTAACTGCAGCTGGTGGTCTAGAACAGCAGTGTTTGCTTAGAAACTCTGTTTGTGAGCAGTCTTTTCAAAATAGACAGAAGGAGATTAAAAGAGAACAGATAAACAAAACAAAACCCTCATAGAACAAAGAGGTACATATGCATAAAAACCTGAATATTGAATTCAAAATAATATGACAAGAAATGGGTATTTGCAGGTATATGTGCTTTTTGGTTTTGTAGTGATACATTGATTAGTGAATAAATCATTGGTCTTTCTTATGGGCATGCTGTCTTTTGGTTATTGCTTATTAAAGTCTTGTTGCAAGGGATGGACAGCTAGCAGGTTTTTTTTCTGTCTCTGTCCAGATAAGTGAAGAAAAACAAGTTAGAAAATCAAGGCACGGGTGCACTACTGTTATCACCTGAAAAAATGATGAAAATCCTGTACTTAATTGCCTTCAAGCCCTGTGTAGTAAACATGACTGTTAATTTTTATTATTAATAGCATACTTTACAAAAATAAAAAGATTCACAAGATACCTTTTAAAATTTTTTAGAATTTAATCAACATTCAAGATCATTTTCAATTTAAGTTTGTGAAACTGCAACCATTATTCTTGCTGCTCATTTTACGTATGAATCATAAGCTGTATAATCATAACAATTCCTACTGTTGCAAAACCTGGTGCTTACTTGTGCATATCTTCCAGTACATTGCAAAGTCTTAGACTTTGACACTGTTGCCTCATCACACAGCACCACCCATCAACTAACATTACTCACATTAGTGAAAATGAATCAACAGGAAAAAAAAAACAACCGAACAACAAAGAGCTGCAAAGTAGGTTATTACAGATTATGTCACAGTTCTGCTCTGCTAGCAGTGGAGGCACTTTCCCTGATATGCAGCAAAAGTAATAAGTAAAGTTTTGTAGCCTAAGGACAGCTGTAAGAAGTTTGTATGCAAAGTAAACGGCATGTGATAGTATTTCCATTCAGGATACTTCAGAGTTCTTTTGCTAACACAGGCTTAGCATGCATTACATGCTATACAGCTGTTTGCAGAGAAGATGCTTTCTTAGCGAAAGGATCAGACCTGGCAGTGCATTGTTAGGTGCCATGGATGTGCAGATGGTCTTCAAGATGTCTGTCAGCACTGTATAAAGATTACCCCCGTGGGTATTTGGTGCGGCTTCTTGCTCACGCTGTTTACTTTGTGGAACCACAGTTCCACTGGTACTGCAGCAGTGGAACAAGGTCCTTTGTGTTATGGAGAAAATCTAATCTGGTTAAAAGAACAAACAGAAACAAGACTGATATATATTATTGCAGTTAATTAGTAAGAAAATTCTGGAAAAGTCTGTGTGCAACTCTGAACTTTGGAAGGTGTTAGCTGGAAGAAAGAAATCTCAGAGGTTTCCATGATGAAATGCTGGAGATTTATTTACTGTAGGCAGTGTGGAAGACACTTGCGCTGTCTTTAGCTATACTGTTTGTACTTCAACAACGTTTTTAATTAAAAAGCCAGTTCTTTGAAACGTGACTAAGAAAACACACCCTTTTCTTCAAAAACTACTTGTCTGCACAGTTTGCAGAGCTGAGCTTGAAAGAGTGAAACCCAAGTGTTTTTCAAATAGCAGATATCACATTCATGGTTGGGTAGCTGGTATTTGCAGCCCTGTATTTATGTGAACTCCTATACGAAATAGAATGAGGAGAGTTAATCAAAGACCTTTAGGAAAGCAATTAAACCACAACTTCCAAGACAGGGACAGGAGAAACGGGACATTTTCTTAACCCTCTTTATTCCTAAATCAGTGAGGTTCACTAATATAACACTTCTGCTGTAGATTTTGTAAGAAACCTTTTCCACTGCATATAGTATATCAAGTTTGGCTGACTCTTGAATTCAAGGAGATTAGACTCGGGCAAACAAGAACAGTGCAGAATTAGCTACTGTGTATGATTCATGCCAACAAAACAGACATCAGCCTGACAAATGCCAGTCTGATAATCACATGGAAAGCTAGATGCAGAAAACCAATAAGGTTAAAATTTTTTTAAGACTGGTTAGCAAGACTTTGGTTATGGTCTCATTGTCAGTGGAAGTGCAGTGGATGTAGTGGAGAATGAATTTATGAAAACATTGCAAAAGTTTGAATGACATTGTCTGCTTTATGCCAGTTCTAAGAATATGATTCTCCTTATGATCAGCTATGCCATAGCTTTGTAAAGCATTGTACTGTTAGAGGAGAAAATATAAGAAATTTATTTTATCGGACCATAATGTCAAAAACTTAGATGAGTGAAAGTAGTCTTTTGGCACTTTTGATCCTTCTTGCTTCATTATGATTTTTTTTTTACAAGTTCCATCTCAGATGAGCTTTCGTACAGACTTTACTGCTTAATGAAAATTATTCATTAAAATATTACTTTTTAAAATTGAAGTTACAGGATACTTGTACAGTTAAGAAATTAATTTCACACCTTTTTGGCAATCATTTGCTTTTACTGTCCTTCATTTTGGACCTTGGCCATATGCACTTCAAAGATATGCATCTTATATTTGACATTGGAAAGGTGTTCTCAAAACTAATTTTTTTCAACTTCCATTTCAAAGTGAAGAAAACAGAGGAGATAGTGGGATCCAGCTAACAGATGACTAAAGAACAGTTCTGAAATGTAGGGCTATCTTACAATTGTTCAAGGAAAATGCCAAAATCAAGAATTGAGAGGCTACTGATAAATCATAAAAGGATAGTAATAAAATCTTTACAAGAATTCATTAGCAGATAGTTAGAAGGGATTAACAATACCTTGTAAAATACACTGAGTATTCTTAGATCATTTACTGTTTCCATAAACGAAAGAAAAGAAACAGTAATTGTCTTACACTTCTCAAATCCTTTGTCAACAGGCACATGGCAGAAACAGAGTGGAAAATCATGTTACTCTAAAGGCTGCCGATGAGATCAAGAGACCTGCTATCACTTATGACAGTAAAAAGGTTTTCATTTTGAGTGACATTTGATGTTTTCCACTGTGCAAATGTTGCTACGTCTTCTCTGAGCATAGAAAAGGAGTAATGATTAATTTTGGGCAACTATTAAACCTTACTTCTGAGTGGGGGGGAAAAGGGGGAAGAGGAAAAAGTAAAACTTGGACAAATCAAAACATGACACTCTGAGGGCTGAGGTCAACAATTGCAGTGGGGCTTTTTATTACTAAGTTACTTAGGATATGACCAGATGAATATTGCTCTAACATGTATTAGAATATCACAACTTTCTCAGAAGGAATTTGCCACTTAATTTATTGCTGCCTCTTCCCATTTAACAAATAATAAGCTGCAGAGTGGATGTTCTTTGTGCTAACACAGTGTATCACTAGGATTGGAACTGCAATACAGTAGTGCTCAGTAAAATCTCCTGGTCCTAGAAATTGCTGTGTGAGACTATCATACATGAAGCATATTCATTTCTCATTATCTTTGGTGGAATAAAGGATGTTCGAAATTGTACAGGAATGAATTCAACAAGATTAGACCTACCTTGTTTACATCTTCCACGACTTACAGCAAAATAAAATTAGTGTGTTGTTATAAAGTATACCTCTTTGTGTGGAGAATCCATGCAAACTGTCAGAAAGAGTGACTTGCAAGTCATTTATGAGAAAAGCTGCAGCAAGACATCTAACACAGTCTTACCAATATCATGCAGATCTGACACTGCACAGTTTCCTAAGCATAGCTTGTACCTGAAAGATCATGCACCACTGCACAGGCTTTAAGACTT